GTTTACCCCTTTCAGTTTTGCCAGCAGCTGATCTTCGAATGTGCCATGGGGCACTGTCGGGGCTGTTGGTTGAGTTGGGTATACTGAGGTTACAGAACAGCCCCAGGCCCCAGGGCTGCTCGATATTTTTTTGGCTTTGGCCAGTGAAGGTGCAAGAGCTGCGAACTTGGGGAGGGCGGAAGGGGGTGAGCACAGCCCCCACAGACCCGTGGCATGGGGTCAGTATGGGCAGCTTCCACATAGGTGATCAGGGCTACAAACCCTCACTGCAGGGGACAGGGAGCTGTCAGTCAGTGCTGCGGCCAGGACCAGCCAAGCAAGGGGGGTCCAGCACCGGCAAGCGTGCGGCTGAGCTGGGTGGGGAAGGCTGGTCCCACGCAGGACCGTCTGTGCCCTAATGGGCGAGAAGTACCGGGATGCTGGCACGAGATGGCTCCCGGCTCCTGGCCAGGCAGGATGGCTCCCAGCTGACTCACAGGGTTCTTGTCCTGCAAGGTGGGTGTCCAGAGCCAGAAAAGTCCTGGCATGGAGGCAGTTCCCATGCGCAGGGGCCAGGGAGCATGCAGGGGGCTGTGACACCAGAAGAGGCCATGGTTCACCCTGTAATGGTGTTGGGGGCAGCTCAGAGGGGCTTGGGAGGCAGCCGAATGGCTGAGCAGGTAGGATCCCTGGATCTGCCCTGGCCAAGAGGAGGACAGCTCCAGGAGGCACAAAGCTGTGCAGCAATCGTGCAGCCCTGGGCTGGGGCCAGGAACCCGATGGTGGTGGCCAATAGGTCAGTGTGTGGGGAGGTGCATGTTGCAGGACTGGAGACCTGACCACATGTGAGATGGCGGGTGAGAGGGCAGCTCAGAGCTCAGGGAGAGAGGACTGCACGGACCAGGAAGGTAGGTGAGGAGGAAGGCAGGGCAGGAGGCAGCATGGCACAGAGGGCAAGTTACACGGGCTTCGGAGGCAGGCAGGGGACAGGCATACCTGGCTGCTCGCAGGTGCTTTGGTGTCCTGGAGGCCACAGCTCAGCACCCTTCACTCCCAGGGGCCAGCTCCTGGTGCCACCGGAGCCCAATGTAGCTGGTGCACCGTTCTTGCATGTCTGCTGCCATGCCCTGGGCGCGTGGTGTGCCAGACCATGGCACAGCGCAGGTCTCCCAGTCCGGGGCAGGTGGCAGCCACAGGGGTACTGTGCTGCTGCCAATGTAGTCGGATGTTACACCCAGCAATGCGGCCGGCTGCCTGGGGTCCTGACACCGGCTATTCCTGTTTACTGTCGTAGAAGAAGTCAGGTTTCCAGGAGGAGTAAAATGGACAAAAAGGGAGGAGAGGCTTTGAATAGGCCGCTGAAAAAAGGCCAGTGGGAGCTGGCCTCCCAGGAAAGGCCACCCACCTTCCACCATGGTTGCAAATAAAACATTTTGGGCCCTCCAGCCTGAAGTGGGATGTGGCAGGAAGGTGGGTGTGATGCTCATCTTAACAGCTTTGGTGTCTAATTATCCACCATAAGTGTTAATGACTGCCTGGGCATGTTCCTGGAGTGTCCTTTGAAAGGTACTGGTTCAGCATGGTGACCAGGGCCATACTGGTCCACAGGTGGAGGAGAAGACGGCCAGATGAGGCTGTGGCATGTCCTGGAGTGACAAGAGTGCTGCCATGCTTGGGCTGGAAGGCATGAACCTCAGTGACGGGCAGGTGAGGTGTAGGGGCTGGGGCCACACAGTCCATTCTACTTTCTTAAAAAAAAAAACCAACAGAAAATCAGGATCATAGAATAATTTAAGTTGGAAGGGACATTCAGAGGCTGTCTGGTCCAACTCAGAGCAGGTCCAAACAGATCTCTGCTCAGGGCTGTGTTCAGTCAGTGTTGATCACCTCCAAGGGGAGGGAAGGGACCTATGGAGATCCCACCCCTCCGCTCAAAGCAGGGTCAGCCACAACCAGGCTGAGGTGCTGAGGTTGCTCAGGACTATGTCCAGTTGGGTTTTGAGTATTACCAAGGATAGAGATGCTGCAATCTCTTTGGGCAACTCTGCCAATGTTTGGCCACCTTCACAGTAAAAAAAGTGTTTCCCGATATTCGGAGGGAACCTGCAGCCCTGTCTTGCCTCTTGTCCTGTCACTGCACACCACTGACAAGAGCCTGCCTCCATCTTCTTTCTTCCCTCCGTTCAGGGATTTATATATGTTGATGAGATCCCCCTAAGCCTTCTCTTCACCAGGATGAACAGTCCCAGCTCTCAGCCTTTCCTCGTAGCAGAGAAGCTCTAGTCCCTTCAACACCTTTGTGACCATTTGCTGGACTGCCTCCAGTATGTCCATATCTGTCTTGTTAAACTATGACAGGAGCTCAGAACTGGACCCAGTACTCCAGGTGTGGTCTCACCAGTACCGAGTAGAGGGGAAGGATCACCTCCAGCCTGGCCACTGCAGCGCAGTACCGCCCAGTACAGACCAGTACCACCCAGTATGGTCCTGCCCAGCTGCTGGAGCCCACCCAGGGTCTCTGCACAGGCTGAGAGACATGGCTGCTGTCCTCTCATTTGGAGTTTCAACCAGCAACAAAGCTGCACATGTATCCCAAAGACACACTCCCGCAGACACACACAGAAGACACTGACACGGCCGGTCAGACAGACTGCCACCAGAACCACCCACACACAGGACCTACTTCATGCACAAGCACAGGCAGCCACATCCCCTCCTCCTCTGGGGCTGGCAGAGGCAGGAGGTCACTAGTTCAGACACAGACATGACTCTCTCTGGGTTCACAAGCACAGGCATGCTTGAGGATCCCCCAAGTACCAGCATAGACCCTCTGTCCGCCTCGCACCCCTCACCCATGGGTCCTCATGGTCTGGCACAGCTTGAAGCTTGCTGGTGAGGACCCCCACCACCACCACACCAGGGCTGGGGAAGATGCTCACCACCCCTCCACCAACCAGTACCAGGCACACAGGCTATGTGACCCATGGTCCCGCTCCAGCCACCAGCGCGGGGACACCCACTCACACCAGTCCCCCTGAGTAGCTGGTTTTTGGGACACAATCTGTGGGACCCTCCCCAGATCCAGAGAGCTGAGGCCCCGCCAGCTGCTGATGCTGAGACCCTCAGGGTTACATCCATACCAGCTGCAATGTCCTGGTGTACCTGCAGTTTCTTGATAGCCCATCAATTAGTGCCACTGACCAGGTTTGTTTCTGGTTATTGTCTTCGTTAACACTAATTGGTCAGGCTTTATGTCTCCACGTTTGCCTCCTTTCATTTCCTTTTCATCTCAACAGAAAAAATAAGCATCCTCTTGCTTCACACATCCTGACCGATTGGTGCGACTGGCCAGGTTTGTTCCCATCACTGCCTCCTGTATCATTTATTGATCAGGTTTACCCCTGTATGTTCCTGTTGATGGCTCCTTTGACCAGATACCCTCAAAGGAGCAGATGCTCTCCCTCTGCACCACCTTACACCACCGAAGCTCCACTGACCACCAAAGCTGGGCCACTGCTGAGATCCTGGTTGCAGCCCCACCAAGGAGCCCAGTCTCCTCTCGGGGTATTACGTGGTGCCTTTGGATGGACACAGATTGTGTGTGTTATCCTGGCACGGGCATGTTCCGTGCCTAATCCTAACATTTGATTTATTCTGACTGCTGCCGAGCACGCATCCAATAATGTGTTACAATTCTTGCTGCTGACCAGCAACAGCTCAGAGCTGGGTATGTGGACACTAGGATTGCTTCTCCCCTTGTGTGCCTTTTTACCTACCTTGAATGTAATCTGCTATTTTTACTCCAGTCACTCTATGTTGCTTGGTCTTCCTGCAGTTTTTGCAGCTGGCACTTTTCTTTACTAAGCTGAATAATTTAATACCATCTGCTCCTCCACTGTTCACAACATTTCCCAGACCGTGTCTGCACATGTTAAACAGCCCAGCTCTCAGCATGGGTCCCTCTAGGCCCTGCTGGTGACTCCCTCTCTGAGAAGAAGGCTCACTTTTTCTTGTCTTTTCTTTCCTTTGAGCCTTTGCAGCTTTTGCTTCCATGACTTTCCAGCAGCAACTGCCACAGTTTAACTGTCTGCTGTGTGCAGAAATCTTTCCTGCTGTTTCCCCACAACCTAGTTCTTAGGGAAAATAGCAAATATTAGTTCCCTGCTTGCCTTGCCCACGTCATTTATGATTTTATGTCCCTGCTCAGGATCTGCCCTTCCTCCTGACCGCAGAAGACACTATCTACCTAGCTCAGTCTCTGCACAGATAGCCACTGCCCTTTAAGTCTGTCTGCTTGCCTTCCTCTTGTCCTGCTCCCTGGAGCTGGGATTTCAGTCCAGAGTTCTCTGTTGGTGTATTTGTGAGTTTGACCCACCTCTAAGCTCGCTGATAACAGCCCCACACTGCCACCAGCAGTGCCACCCTCCTCTGCCGCTTCTATGCATTTTTATACTTTGGCATCACAGTGTCCTGGTGAGCCTCCTCCCAAGAAGCCCATGGCATGCCAGTGTTTCATTGAAGATGAGGCATTTAGGTTCCTCAGCCCTATATATTACATTTATCCTGGTTTTCTACTTTTTTCTGTATTGTGTTTAAACAAGATTCTGCTTCTTTAAACTGCGCTTCCCTTTTCCTTTTCTTCATGCTGGTTTTCACCACATTTGAACGGTGCAAGTTTGGCCTCTCCTTTGCTTGGAGATGCAAAACTTCTATGACAATATCTTTTCAGCTTCTCAGCCCCATTTTATGAGCTCATGTCTCTGCTTTACTATCTGACCTCCACGTGGTACCTGGACCGTTTCAGGGAATGCTGTCATAGAGGGCCTGGCTTTCACCTTCCTGCCTGAAGCCTACATTTTAATGCTAGAACGTCTTCCCTCCATCTTTTTCTGTGTGGGGCCCAGGGTCACCATCTCCTCCCCAGCACTTATTATGAGCCTTTCCAGAAACCTCTGCCCTGCAGGTGAGTCACAATGCGACTCCGGACCACAAGCCCCAAATTTTGTTTTACCTCAGCTCACTCTCTGGGTCCCTCATCAGGGAGGACCGTCACTACCACAACGTTCCTGTTAGGCATCATTGCCTGCTCTGGGACAGGAATTTCCTACAGAGATATTGCTAGCTCCTGGCTGTTCAAGTGTGTGTGGCTGTCCAACACGACTCCTGAGGTGAGCCGTGATGCTCCATATGGCCACGGAGGTCCCTGATCCCCCGCCCGGGGATGAACTGACTGTCTTTAACCAGGCTGCTTCTGCACCTGCGCTGTAGCCTCCACCCCAGGACCAGGCTAACATGCTGCCCAGGAAGGCTGCTCCAGCTGCAGGACGATTCTTCAGTGCCACCTGCCAGTAACATGCCAAGGAGAGCCTTGAGCTGCTCCCCACGCAGTCCTTGGGAGGTCTGGAGCAGCACAGTGGGGACAGCAGCCAAGCTTCGTGAGACCCTACCCTGTCTTCCTTTCCTTAGTGCATGCTTTTCATCCTGTGCAGTCCTCCTCCCGTTCCTGATCTCTGTGTGAGACTGGCTTTTTCTGTATCCAGTGCCATGAGGTGATAACAGCCAAGCTTTGTGGACCTGACCCTTGGCAGATGATACTCTGGCCCAGGGCTGGGAAACTGAGAACTTCAGAATACTATAAGGCTTCCTCTTGGTTCCTTTTCTCTTGTATATCCTAGTGAATATATAAAAAATAAGCCACCAGCTTTCAGTTAGGTTTAGTTAAATGGCTTTTGGCTAGGTGTGTTAGACCAAAGATCCTATCAAGAAATGGCCTTATAACAGCTAGGTTTAGTACGAACATGGGACAGCTGTCAGAAAGAGCTTATCACCAGAAAAGAGACCCTGGAAAGGGGAAGGGCTAAACCACAGCTGGAGGGCTGCAGGCATCCATCCTGCTCCACAGGGATTGCTGGGTCTCCATGGCTTTGCTAGCAAGGCACAAGCTAATGGACAAGAAGGCTGGGAAATGGGATACTTGGAGATCAGGTGAAAAGTGTGGTGGAGGTTGAAAGATGTGGAACTAGAGACTGAATAAGAGAAGACGGTCTGAGGGCAAGGGATTGTAAGGGCAGGAATGTAAGAAGGGCCGTGATGCAACAGGGCAAGAGCCCATCCAGCCAGGTGCTTTCTCTCGTGCAGCAGCCGCCAGCAAGCCCTCTTACACTGTAGCAGCACACAGGGCTCCGAGATCTCGAGATGGCACAAGGCTAGAGTGTGTGAAAGACATGGCTTGGACATTCACCCTGCATTTGGCTAAAGCATTTTCTAATCCATTTCGAGGAAAGAGCAGAAGTCTGCAAGATGAATACGAAGCCTCATCTTTGACATGGGAACCTGAATCATCAAGGCCCTCTGGAGATGGCATTACAATGTCTGCAGGTTGGTGCGGGAAGAAGCTGAACTAACCCCAGTACAGAGTGCAGTGAGGCCTGAGAGCTGTAAAACTTCCCCATTATGCTCTGGCACTTTGAGTAAACTGTGGCATTTCTGGTGCTTCCCCATGTTCATAATGCAGATGGTGGTAGGACAGACACAGTTATACCAGCCCAGAACAGAGGGCCGTGTCTCCACTATGCTGTGGCCAGCTCTGTGGAGTCTATCAGAGTCTACACTAAGTATGTAATAGCAGTGCTAGTCCATACCGACACCTCCCTGACCCTGTCTTCCATCTTCTAGCAACCTGTGACTGAGGGACCTCCTGAGGCAGAAGCGTGTCTTTGCATTTAACAGCCCTCAGTGGACTTCCCTCCTATTAATTTGTCCCACCACTTTTTGGGCCCATGCAAATCTCCAGGCTACACAGCAGGTTATGGTAAGGAATTCCACGACTAATCTATGCTTGTTTACAGTTATCAGCTGTACAAGCTGTGGCAAAAAATCCATTTTCCAGGACACTACTGGGTTAATTAAGGCAAATAGCCTAAGGTAATGTGTTTAAGGAGAGTAAGTTTCCTCCTATTAAGCAGTAGTAGAATTATTCTACTCTACGGCAGCGTGGTTCTGGGGCTACCTACTCTCCAGGAGTGTGGTATGTGAGCTGAGTCAGCTCAGGACACAGGATGGCAAAAGGAGCTGAGAAATGTGCAGAGGCCCCAGCTAGAGGGAATGGATGCTCCGCTGCTGGCTCCCCTGACCGTGCATAGATAGACTAGAAATATGGCACGACAATGTACACTACGGGCTCTCAACTCCCGCATGGATCCCACAGCACAGCTCTCTATAGAGGCTCCATGGACAGTTGGGGAATTGGAGGGAGGGAAAGCAAGCATGTGAGTGAATTGAGTGTACTTATCGGTGAGAGACCAGACCACTCTAAGCTGAGAGTGTATGTAGTCCAGACACCCCCAGAAAAGCTAGACAGGCTGAGACATTAAGAGCAAATGCGGGTAATATACCCCAATGCAGTAAACACCTAACACCAGCCTGACAAAGTGCCTACCTGGAAATCTGGTCTCCATGTAAAATTCAGATTTGAAAACCTGCAACTCTAATAACGGCCTGCAAATCTGCTAGGAAAAAAATGTTCTTTATGCATAAGAAAACCAACTAGAAGGAGAATAAAAATACCACTCTCAATACAACTCATATGCCATAAAAGACATACTTCCATTCAAATGTGCAGGAGGAAAATGAGGACAACATATTTCACCAAAAGGAATGGAGATAACCCAGGCTGACTCCAGCATTCCTGAAAGACTACAGAAGACAAAGGCTTAATATGCTATGCCACAGCGCTCAGGGAAGACATTTAAAAGCGATACCTGATGTGCGTAGGTTATTGAAAGGGAAAAAGAACAATGAAGAAATTTTCAGCATGGAATTAGAATTTAAAAAAAAAAAAAATTTTAAAAAATAGAAAGAAAAATGCCAGCAGCAAACAAAATATTCACAATAGCTAATATATTCACCAAAGTAATAATGAAAAAAAATTGCAAAAGGTTTTACAATTACTTTCTAAAAATCTTAAGGAAGTAAAGACCAGTGTCCGGGTCGGGTACGCAGCGGCGGAGGAGCTGCATGTAGGTGAGGTTCTCGTGGGTGTTGGGGTCGAAGAAGCCCTTGGTGTCGTCGCTGGGGTCGGAGAGGATCTGGTTCATCTCGTGGTCGAAGTAGCCGCGCCGGTAGGCCACCTCCACGGGGAGGCGGTGGCTGTGCACGGGGTCGATGATGCCGCCGGTGGCGATCTGGGCCTCCAGCAGGCGGATGCCGTGCTCCTTGACGATGAGCTCCTTCTTCATGGCCTGGAAGAGAGAGATCTGGTCGCCGGTGTAGGGGTCGGTGTAGCCCGTCACGGCCCTCTCGGCCGACAGGAGCTTCTCGTGCAGCTCGCTGCCCACCAGCCCGGACGAGACGGCCTCGTCCACGGAGAGCTTCTTGTTGCTGAGCGGGTCAACGACGAAGCCGGTGGCAGCCTGCGCCTCCAGCAGCACCAGAGCCGTGCCCTGCCTCAGGATGCCCTTCCACATGGCCTGGTAGATGGTCATCTTCTCCATCTTGGCGGGGTCGGCCTTGGAGGGCACCAGCACGCCGGCGATGCAGCCCGTGCCGTCCAGGTAGCGCTTGACGGAGGCCATTTCCGTCACCTCCTCCACCGTCTTGGAGCCTTGGACGAGGTCGGCCAGCGTGTCCTTGTCGATGATGCCCGAGTCCACCAGGTCCGAGGCGGTCACCTGCCTCCTGAACCCCGTGAATTTCATGCTGCTGCTCCGCTCCACCACCTCCTCGACGAGGAGGGTGAGGTGCCTCGCCAGCTCGTCCAGCGCCAGACTGCCGGCCCGGACCTGCGCCAGCAGCTCCTGCCTCTTTGCCTCGGAGACGTACGTGGAGAAGAGGAGCTCCCACAGGGAGACCTTCCTGCCGTGGAAGCCACCCGCCGAGACCTCGACGGTGCGGGACTTCAGGGACCGCTCCAGCTCCAGCTCCCGCT